TGCACCAGGCCGCATCATGTTTTATTTGGTACGGTATTCGAGATGTCGCGACGCACGTATAAACGTAATACACTACTCATAAGGTTGCTGAAAACTCTTCGACAACCCACGACCGGTTTCGCCCTTCTTGGGGCTCATCAGGTGGGCGCAGTCCTTGAGTTTCCGTCAAATTAATGTTCTACTTGTTTGCAAATGAGTGTATTTTGCTAATTTTGTGCAATATGGGTTCAAGTAGAACATGAGCTTGACTAAAACTCGGGGACTGCGCCTAACTGATGAGCTGTCGAAAAGTTTTCAACAACCTTATGAGCTTAGCTTTTTACCTTAGATTTAGCCAAATTACATGAATAAATCCATGCGTTTCATTCATTAGTCGAATGAGCACCTTTTGTCCATCTAAAGAGATGACAGAACTGAAAGAACTAGGTGGAATTAAACTGTTCAGTGTTGTGTAAATTGTTGGTCTATTTTATCATTTCGACATTGATTGTGGTATGTGATTCTGGTTATCTGACAGATCGCCAACGGATGCGTTCGTTATCAATTGAATTACTTAGTTACTCATTTATTCATTTCGTGCAACACAAACTCTCCGGAATATTTTATCCTTAACTGATCTTACTTTACGCATGAGGAAACTGTTGAATTTTCCCAAGTATAAATATCCGGGAAATAGTTAATTTCCCAACAAATGTAACATTATACATCAATTTGACGTTTCCCCTTAAGGAACAAACAAGTTTTATCCACAACCCATAGAGCTTTGTGCTTTCGATTGTTTTCCTGTTATGTTACCACTGATTTTCTTCGGTGGTTCAGAGCATGTTTGGTCTCATCTGCAAATATCTAACCATTCAGCATTCTAAACTTTGATGCAGATGCAGAGTAACAACTGGGATGAGAGGGCATATGCGAAACACCGCGCCGTAAGATGAACTTCAACTTCAGACGTCATATCACAGAGGTCCGAGTTATCTGACTGATTGTAATAGGCTTAAGTATGGGTAAGACTCAGTTAGAGCTATAAATAAATTCTGGAAATGAAAACAGCATTGCACTTAAAGTGTATAGGCGGATTTTATGGACTGGTAGGATAATCAGAGAGAAGGTTGTTTTCGCTCGCTGTTCCCTTGAAATCACTTGAGATCGCACTTCAGTGAACAGAACACGAGTTAATAGTCCCTCTCAAGTGGTCTAATGGATAAACAAGGGAACGAGGGTGATAAACTGCATAATATCATTAAAGACGAAATGCGACCCACCAGCTCAGACAGGACCGTGTGCAAAGTGTCTGGTCATCTGTGAAGTGAACAGTAATACATTGTGAACACCGCGTTTATCAGTAGGTACTGTAGTGTGTTTACGCCGAATGAAAAGCACTGTAAAAAATCCGGAGAGAATTTGAAACCCAATCGAGTTTTTGACGTGCCACACTACTCATAAGTTTGCTGAAAACTCTTCGACAGCCCAAGCCCGGTTTTGTTCATCAAGTGGGCGCACTACCCAAGCTTGTATCACCATAGACGAGAGATTCAGTTAGGTCTCCCATGGAAACCAAATTGAAATGCAAGTGAGTGTGTATCGCCAACTGGATTTTGTTACTGTACAGCCAGCGGTTCGTGCTGTGTGTTATGGATTGAGGTAAATACGTACACTGGTTGAATAAATTACGACCGTTCGACTCTGTCCTGCTGTTCAAAAACGACCTGTTATTAGTTCTGCCACAGGCAATCTAGAATGGGTGACAAAATAAGCTATAAATGATGAGGAGAAAAAACGTGGCCTACTTTGATGTTCCTTGTTTTGCCGGCAGTTTATTAGAAACGATCAATAGGATACCGGCCTGACCGAATCACAAAAGGTATGAAATCATGGAAGCCTATCAGAAAGTCAACGACACTTTTATTTACCAATTATGGCGTTTATAAAATCGTTTACAGTTTCGTTTAAGCTTATGTTGATAGAACAAGAGGTCTGAGGTTGGATCTATGAAGTAGTTTCACAATGTCTTTTTATCTTAGCTAAAACCAATTGAAATGTCACCGAGGACAATGTGTGAACTACAAAAGACATCAGGTCAAAACTCTGTCGTCGCTTCGGATGATTACGAGGTATAAACTACCACGTAGACTCAAATTTCTGACAAAAAGCCACAGAAAGGCCTTGTTTTCGGTCAAGTATTTGCGAGTAACCTTGGAATAGTAGTAGATCAGGGCCAAAGTTTCCTCAGGTACGTCAAAGCATGTTAGTGTGCCACAGTTTGACCGCCTTTTGGGATACTGATGAGGAATTCGTCACATACGGAATTCTCAGCACCTAGTTGCAGAAGTTGAGAAAAAGTGAGAGTTATCTGCCTTTACAGGTAACTTGGTGGGAATAACCCACCTAAACTGAGAAACTAACATGATTCTACTCTGGTGTACCTATTCATGGAGCAGGATGATATTCAATGCACAAAACGTCCCGGTAGCCGAGCAAAGAAAATATTGACTTAGCACTTCAAAACTCTGAGTCGAACCCCACACATGAGAGCTCTGTAATTGGTTGCTAGCCTTCTTTCCGTCAATCTGAAGGTAGATGGTTTCCGGACTAAGTAGGAAAAGGCAATATCTTATTACTTTTTCTCCTTCGACGTGCACAGCCAACTTTTGGAGTTCGGCTGACAGGTCTCACAGTCCAGAGTCCACTAGATGAAATCCGCTTCAGCACTGGGAGCAATAGGACTTACCACTATTTCAACCAATTACCATTTATACACCCACATAAATGGATATTTCCAAGAATTTCAATAGAGGTTTCATCCTGTCACTACAGCCAATCTATGCTGAAAAGCCTGGAATTCATCGTACAACTGTTTCATCCCTTTTTGAGTCGTCAGCAGTGCACATCCCATGACCTTACGGCCAGTGTTTGATCACTGAAACGTTTGGCTATGGGGTTAGACAGGACATAGTGCCACTCATCCTTCAGTCACAGAAACCAAATCAAATCACTACAACTGTTTCATCCCTTTTTGAGTCGTCAGCAGTGCACATCCCACGACCTTACGGCCAGTGTTTGATCACTGAAACGTTTGGCTATGGGGTTAGACAGGACATAGTGCCACTCATCCTTCAGTCACAGAAACCACATCACATGGTCACGTACTGATCAGCTCCTCAAGTGGCGACTCTTACTGATGATTCCCAACAAGGGTGGTGCAGCTGCACACTGGTTCTCAGCTTTTCAGCATTCAGTGGCTTCATCGACAGGATGAAATCTCTATTAAAAATTGACAGGTCTCAAAACCGCTAAGTTTCACAGACTGCTCGTCACTTGCTGGTCCCATCCAGCGTTGCATCCTCCTAAGGACTCTGCAAGATTCATCTCGAGAAGCCTCAACATTCCCCCAGAGCAAAATGGTTTTCAGGTCAGTGGTGGCTGAGATTGCGCAACATGAGCCCATAAGTCACCAAAATCTCTTAGTAAGCTGGGTCAAACCGAGGGTGCTGGCTATAGATTTTCTAATCTAATGTAACTTTTGTTTTGCGATTGTGAAGCGCCGAAGCTCTTTTTATAAAAATGATCAATGGCGTTGAACGCAAACCAAGTACTTGAGGCGTTAGATTGTCTTCCAAGGTGTCACAGTATTGACTGTCTTGTGGATAATGCTACTAACAGCCACCCTTCCACTGATAATTTGATCAACCTCCTAGTATGGCATTGCTGTGATCACTGAAATGCGTTCTTTTAGATGCATGTTTGCGTAACCCGTGGAACTATGGGTTTGCATTCAGTGTAATTTTACCAGTGTAGAGCAATTATCTTGAGTTATACTGGAATTTCTAGTTCATTTTGAGGCCACGTAAGTGCATAATGATCTCCTGTCACGTGATAGGTCAGAGAGAGAACATGCTTATGGAACTTTACGGCTTGCAAATTTTTTCAATCGTAACTAACTAATTACAATGAATGCAGCAGGCTTTCCACTGGTTTACTAGTCCGTGAATTCGCAACCAAGTGTTTTGTTTTCTTAATAAGTGGTATAAATAAAGTTGATACTTCGAAAGACGTTTTTTGAGGGAAGTAAGTTCGAATGACAGGTTGTCAGTACGTCAGTCTTTTGTGGAATCACTTCAAATAGTGATGGTTTCAGACAGCATCAGGAGGCGCCTTAAAATTGAGGGGCAACCATTCGACATTCGTTGATCATTCCGTTATTCTATTCAATTGTACCATACCCATGATATTACCTAAAGCAAAGGCGGGAATTCTTACGGGGCTTTATTTCAATTGTGAACTGATCCCTGGTTTTTTCTTCAAGTGGTAAACCCAAGCTCCATCTCTGCAAATCAATCCTGTGAATTTTCACCGATTCCAACAAAAATGGAGCTTTAAAAACGTCTTACCAATTATCTCCTGGCTCTACACAATGGTCGGCAACATTTGGATTCAGACAGAACATAAGCTTAACAGATTCGGAGAATGTGTCTATCTGATGAGCGCAAAGGTAGTAGTGGGTTGGCTTTAATCAAGAAAATTTATTGTGCATTTGATTTTACGCGCTCTCTAGACCTCATTTTGGTAAAGCCAAAATAGTGTCTGCATTTTACTGATGATGTTCACTACCTTTTTTGATGTGCAGCAGTCCACAGAGCCATCTTCAAATATTCAATAGCTTAGTTATAGGAGTGGGTGTCTGCGATACGAATCAAGGATTTTCGCCCGGCACTTTCTTGAAGGCTCCTGGCTAGGTTACCAGAGAGTAAATGACAAAGTTTTCCTCGAAAAATACATGAATGTCCGTACAATATTGCTTTATGTGTCTGTTTGTTCGGTTAATGTCACTAGCATGTTCCAAGCCCCTTTGCACAAAATGGTTCCAGCGTTTGATGTTTTGATTCCAATACGATGAACGGAAAGAATCAACCATGGCATTCAGGTCAACTTTTGCAAAAGGTTAAACTTTGGTGTACGATGCCCACCATGTGCATAGACAGAAGGCCAATCAATCGTCTACTGAAAAAGGCTCATGTTCTATTTTTTGCATGAATTTATGTACAAGGGCAGTTTTGGCGGCAAATGGAGCAGAATCAAAAGTATTTTCAAATAATTGTTATAAAAATCATTTGGTGAAGAAAGTTTTGTGAAAATATTATTCGGTCAACTGGAACACAGGTGTGGTGGTCCTAGGTTGGGCTAGTAAAAACTCCGGATGATCAATAGTAATACAGCAACAGGACTTGATTATTGAACAGAGTTGTCGAACCAAACTGACGTCGTCCGTGGTAAACTTGCTTTGAATCGTAGGCAACTTCAACTTGTGGCGACTTTATGTCAAAGAATACAGAGGAGGAAAATTGAACCACCGTGTTCAGTGTCTGAAAGCTCACTACGAAGTAAGCACGGACATTTGATTCTCTGTGTTTCCGATAAATATTGAGGAGATTATCTGTTAGACTCGGTGGGAAAATCACAACTCGACCTTGGTCGATTGCGGTTGACAATAAGCCCACACCGGACGCCGCAGTCCAGTAGGCCCGCCAACTCTGCAAGCGGTTCATGCCATTGTTCGGTAGCATGATATTTGCGGGGCAGTAGGTTGAAAAATCATTGAACGACTTGTACGACCAGGCCATCAAGTCGGTTTCACCGTTCGACTAAGAGAAGGGAAGAAAGTGTCGTTATTAATTAACATAGGCGTGGTACTGACCGTTAAACTTTGCTTTATCATATCAAAATAAATCGATCGCTCGGGGGTTCCGTCTTGTCTGTCTTGTGTTAGTGCTTAGGATTTGAGAATGACAAACGCATTTAGTATCTGGAGTGTCAATACAGATATGAATAAATTTCTAGTCATTTTTATGTATATGTCTGGACAAAAAAGATACTAAGCTATTCCTGGTATCTTTGAAAAGTATGGGTACGAAGCAGACGTGATATTTTTAACCTCTTTGAAGATGTGTAATTTTGTAGAAACTCCTGGTTTCCCTTTAGGCTGAGTGTCCCCAGAACATTCTTTACTTAGTTGTAATGTCTATTGTGCATCACTTGTCACCCGGCGCATCCGTAAGAAATGTTGTTTTGAACAGAACCTTAGACACTCAGACCAAAAAAGCAGTTGGCTCAACCCGAATGGGAAGAAACAGACTTAGGAAGCACGGACACTTCAACAATGAACTAAATCCAGTGTCAACCCGGTCAAAGTGACAAGTGACTCCAATGATGGACAGTTGACTATTAAGTAATAGCCCCAAGAGCCCCATGCTATTTCACTTCGTTGGACCAGTTGGCTGATAAGGCAAAAGGTGCATGCACCACTACTTTGCTTACGCATACAAACGCATATGGTTCTGTGTAAGCATTGTTCTACGCTGACCATGCGAAAACGCAAGTGAGTTCACCACTTCTGCAGAGTGAATTGCTATGAATGGGTTTATAACATATGGGTTTATTACACAAACAATGGGCAAGCAACTGAACTGTACACTAAGCAAATTGGGGGCCAGCGATTCTTCTGAAGAGTCTATTCTGCTTCTTAGTATAGGGAAGCAGTGCTCACCTGTCTACGTAGACCTGTTTTCCCTAGAATCCGATTGAGACGACACTCTTCGTGTTACTTGTGAGTAGTCAAAAATAAAGACTAAATTTGTCACGCAATTAAGTACTCAAAACGGTGGAAGTTCAGTCATAGCTGGTATCGTTAAGATACTCAGTCGTGTTGGACCGAATCCACGACGAAAAAAGCGCCACAAGGGTCAAACAAATGGTCAAAGTACGGGTATCCAACTAAGTAGTCGTCGGTAAAAAAACAATGGCTGGATGGTCCTTTCAGAGTGTCTCACTAAGACGAAGGCGAAGGGAAATTTTGACTTGGCTGCCTTCACTTGCACAACTCCGGTTGGCTGTTGACAAAGGCCATCGATGGAATATCTTGGGTATAATGTTTTTCACGGATACACCTATTCGATGTTGTTTCGGACCATATATTCACAGCTTAAGTTGACGCTCTTGATCAAGGACGAGTTTGCGAATAAAGATTCCACACTGGGTGATGGAATCAAATTGTTCGAAATTACTTAGGTGATTTACTTGAAAAGCAACAAAGCGAGAATTGGCCTCGATCGACTGATTGGTACTGATCCCGAAGCAGGCAAAGCAAATCATAGGCAATTGCACAGGAAGTAGACGAAAGCATGTCAATGGTCCGTGTCTTTATCAGCTGGTTAGATGTAGGCATTAGGTAGACTGCCCACAAAAAGCCGGTCTATTTTGCTCAGTGTAAAAACGTTAATTAAAAAACAATACAAACGAATGTTGACAGCGGCCAAAATCAGTGTAGCTGGAATGTTTAAACTGGAGTTGAGCGAGATAATAAAAACCTATGCAACCACTAATATTATCGTGGATTTGGGTGGCGGACAGACAAGAAGCGTCCTTAAAATTGGGTGTGCGAAATGTTTTTCCTAGAAGAATTTCCTTGAAGGTTCTCCTTCAGCTATGACACAGAAGAAGCCCCTCGGACAAGAGGTTAGTCATTCGTATCACCGAAATTAAGTTCCTGGAGGACTGGCTTCCGAAAACCTGTTCCCTTCCTCAACGGTTGAATACCTTCAGTGATCCTAGAATACCGAAATATCGAATTATCCTTGAAAGCCACATCTGATGAATAATGCAAAACGTCTCAGCGCCCATAGTTTAGCGCCATACGTGATGAGTTGTCGTTGTTGTTGTCGTGAAACTGATCCTAGAATACCGAAATATCGAATTACCCTTGAAAGCCACATCTGACGAATATTGCAAAACGTCACAGCGCCCATAGTTTAGCGCCATACATGATGAGTTGTCGTTGTTGTTGTCGTGAAAAATAATTAGTCTGTTCGACTAGCATTTTATCCTACCAGGCATTTGACTGAGTGGCCACTTACGTACTATTGAGAGTGCAAATTGAGCTTCTGGATTTTAGTGATCAAGGCCGATTTTGTGTCCATTCCTGACTCGCCTCACCATCCACCTTTTACGTATGACTGAAGGTTCACTGATATGGTTAACGACAAGCCTTTTCTAATAATGAACCGTAATTTTGGCCAACAATAATCCCGTATACCTTACTAACATAGGTGACCACCGTACAAGCGCCTCATACGAATAACTGTTCTCCATCATTTCAGGACCAGAATAGTGCGTTGTGAATCGAACGAGAAGTTTAGGAATTCAGTATGTGTCAAGCGCTCCTACCTGCTATAAATTTTAACCCGATTCAGTGCAAAAACGTCATATTATTGACAGAATGAGGGAAGGAGCAGTTGTCTGTCGGGGCTTGTATAGCCCCGAGGACTATACGTGTAGAGAAGCAGCAGATCTGAAAGCTCGGTTTTTGGTAATTTGGTAAAGTAATTCTAGCTGAATGGATCGGGATACGAAACCAATCCGATATTGTTTTAGTACAACCTAGTCAAACAGCACTCAGATCCAAATGAACTGTCACTGGCTTCTACTCAAACTACCATCATATGATTATTTTTCACTTAGATTCTATCAGAAGAGCTGCAGTTGGTTCAACCTGGTGCAAATGACGTCGATTACTGAGCCAATTACTCTGGAATATCAGCATACAACTATCAAGAAAACATGTGTTACATGTGTGAATAAATTATCACTTACAAGATCTACCTCTTGGCCTGCCATCATGAGGTAGCTCCCAGGCAAAAAATAGGCCAGCTCCTGAATTGTGAGAAAGTCTTTGTTGTCCTCACTCATTTGATCCACTCTCCAAATTGGACTACAAGTTCCTAGGCGTGGATCTGCCATGGCTGAGTAGAGTAAGGAATGTAGGTGAGAATAAGTCGATGATTACGTGAGAAACACGCTGGGATTCAACAGAAATGTAAGCAGACGATAAGCTCGTTAAGGAGCAATCGTGTGGAAACCATGGACTTGTATTTCTAAACTTCATCTTTTTTCCTTGCTAACGCCGACAGGATAATAGTTTGTAATAACGGTAAACACAAGCAGCTGTACACAAACAACGTTTTCCCGTGTCCTGTTTATTCAACAGTTAACTTAAGATCATATTTCACAGTTCAAAAGATCGCACTTTTGTGCTGTTTTAGTGAGGACGATCCGGTGTGACCAATATCGGAAGTTCCAGTCGACCGACTTCCTCAAAGGGCTCTTTTCGCACAACCACTTGAAGGGTGGAAGAGAGCCAGAGGCGGTCAAACAGTGAATCGGCAGTGAAGCATGAAAGCCATTACCAGCAAACTCAGCTGCGCTGGTCACTGTCGTCTTCCTGGATGGGGACCCCGAGACGGGCCATATCAATGGTTAGAGACACTCTCAGACATGGCCCAGTCGCTCCCTAAATGGCGCTCCTGCATCCAAGCTATTGCCTTCAATGCCTTTCCCAATTCACTCACTTCACAGTCCACCTGCGGTGCTGTATCTACGCACTAATTTATCAGCCTCCAATGCGCAGCTACCTACCCCACCTCCCCGAATCATCGGTGAACGAAACTGTGGCAGCTACAACCACTGTACAAGTACGCGGTTAATACAGCTGACGATGATGATGATGACATCGGAATTTGGTAGATATAATATTTCTAACATCCCTTGGTGTTCGACGATGAGGGGGGACATCGAAAGTTGTCAAAATGGCTAAAGATCATGGGCACCAAAGTGTATCGGTGATGTTAACCGTTAACTCCATCTCATTAAGATGGATGGCAGATGAGACCGTAAGACATAACCTGACAAACGATGTACTAACTATTTTGGTGATAATGATAGATGCAATGGACACATCCACTGTTTGCTGCAAGTGAGTATAGTTCGCTAGTTGTGCATCTCCAGGACTCAAATCAAATACCGAAATTACCAGTCAAATTGCGTGCTATTCAATCTCTAAACATTCAGTCACGTTTCAGGCATTAACCACGCTCGAGGGACGATACAAACTCAAGCAGCGGTGCAAGAATTACCGACGATATCCCCTCGCATAGTGACGAAAGGTTTGTAATTCAGAGAGTAGATCAACCGCTTCCTGATCAGCGGGTATCAAGCTCACCCGATCAATCAACATCCAGACATTCAATGACTTGTGTTCAATAGTTTATGGACACCAATGATCAAGCAGTTATTTCCTTGTTCAAGCTCAACGCGAATGTTGTTTTCGAAGTAAAAACCTGAAGATATGATAGAAGGATGAAGAGTTCAGTTCCCCGGAACCTATTTATATTGGTACAGTACTCGGGGCCTCCGTTAGAATAAATAATAAGTGGAGAAGCACATCAACTACAGCACACAGGTCATTCACCTTTAGACATACGATACACTGGGTCACTCAGGACATTACTGGTTTGGTTGCCGTTATTTGCCTATAACATGTACACCATTTGACTTGCATCATTATATCCCAAAAAGCGATTGTAGTCCAGTTGCGTTCCTCTCAATTTCATAAGCTATTCTAAAGGAAACAATGATTCGCGTGCCTGCTTTATCCGATATAATGCAATAATAGAATGCACGATTTTACTTCACATTTAGACACGACGGAGAGGGTCGAAGTTAGATAAAACAACATCTCAATGTACACGCCGCTGACTTTGATTCTATGGGTTACAAAATCGAAAGTATCGTATGCAACAATGTTGCAAAGACGAATTCAAATTTTCTGTGAGCGCTTCCGAGTTGCTGGAGGACGCATTTGATGAAGGTTGTACCATTTTCAACTCATTTGAATGCTACTTTGGGCATATTTGTATTGCTTCGTATGAAATACATAACTTAAAAATATTTCTTGCTGCCCATCCCGAATTCCGTGAGCCGAAAACTGATTCGAGCAAGCTTACCTTGCATAATCTGATCAGTTATGTCGTTCGTTCGAGTGGGAACTCGTCGTCTAATCTGCAATGTGAAGAAACACACTTTGCTTCCTGTGTTAATTTTCGCATCTGCAGCTGGGTTGTCAGCAAACCAAACGAAGTTTTCTAAAAACGGGCGAACACAAAAGGTAATGGATTTCTGGAAGAAACTGAACAATACTGAAACAAAAACCTAGGGCTGCGTAATAAAAAGAAAACAAGTACTGATCACCCTTTTTGAAATGTTCACAGACGATGTAAACTGGTGTGCAGTTGAAGCCCCGGAAATGCCACTAGACGTTTTAAATAATTTGGTCTGTATTCAAAATAGGAAACGAATGTTCAGAAAACATCGAAGCACACTAGGAAAGATGTTTACTCTGTCCGGAGTGCCAAATGCATCTTTTTTGAACAGGGAGACTGAAATGGTTACGAAAGAGTTTCTGGAGTCGTCGTAGTTCACTGATCTTCATCCTTCTTGCTAGAACTACTAGTTTTATTAAACACTTGACATTAGAATGTCAAAATAAATTTCCTTACGTTACTGTGCTTTTCGATTTCCGGCGGAAGCTCTCCCAAACTCGCATACCTCCCCGAAAAACCAGGTCACATTAGACTTATCAAATTCATTTAGAAACCATCTATTAGTCGATGAACAACAATACCATTAGTTAAAATTTCTTGTAAAGACTTGGTGCCAGAAATTAGGTGGTGTAAAATACATGAATTAGTCCTTTTAGGACATGCACATCTGAATAGCTTTTTTGTGTCGTTATTAGGATCTGACACAGCTGTGCCGAGTATCAAAATCCGCCCAGCTTTGTTCGTTTGACTAGCAGTTGTTCCGAAGATCCAATAAACACATCAGTTCCACATAGCTTTGGTTTTAGCGCACGATGCAGCGCTAAAGCCCCAGCCGAGCACATGGCATGGCTTGTTCGCTAGCATAGTTTTCAGAAGTCCTCAGACATGGAGTTCGAGTTCAACACATCAAGCGAACTGTTTCAGTAGGTATGGGCAATACTGGACGACCTGTGAGCTCGTAATCTTGGAGAGTCCACATCCTTCGTCTTACTGCCTAACGGCGAGGAGTAGTATTGCAGACTTGCGGCAATGCTTTATCCGATAAGCTTTGTCTGACAGAATCGTCTCCCATATCCCAGCATGAGCAAAATATTACTATATGGGACATCCATCCATCGAAGACGATTCTGTGGAACTTCAGGCACCCATTGCACTGAAATAAAAAAACGCACTATAGAATAACAATGTGCGAGGCCGCGACTGCCGGACTTGGTCCAAAAGAAGCGAATCCTGGATTTCAGAGCACAAGTGTATGCAGGCGACTTACCGTCTGTCTGACCATTCAGAATGCTCCTGAGAGGTGGAATCATATCAGGAATCACATTGGTCGAATTTGTGATGAGAACTCCCATGATGTTTAGTTTTGCTCTCCAAAACTCAATGACTTTCTTCATTTCCGTCTGAACCTGTAAGTAAAAGGGTTTGAATTGGGGTTAGGTGATAAATGAGATGGAAATACTCACCTATGAGACAACGTCAGTAGGCTACTCCATTTTCCGTTGATAAACACAACTCACTAAAGCAAAACAGTGAGGTGCAGTAGTTCACAGATCACAATAGCCTCCCAACATGTATTGCTCTTTACAGAACAGAATTTCTACCGCACACTTTCTCAGGAAAAAGAATTCTCCAAGAAAGGAATAAGAAATGTCTTGCAAAGACCCTCTACCTCGCAATGCGAAGAATCTACTCACAATTATTCTAAAGAACCGCATCTTTTTATCTCAACTAAGTGAAATAATGTCATGACTTATCTACAGAGGATAGTGGAAAATCAAACCAAAAGGAAAGATTGTCACTGTCACTCAGTCGGCGTTCGGTGGAGGGAATAATAATAATAATAATAATAACCGCCAGTATGCGCACTGACGATGTCCTCGCGATTGGTAGAGAAACATCTACAAGTAAGTTAGCGCGATCAGAGCTGTAATTAGGCACATTCGGAGTCCGTATGATTGATGCATTCACCCCAACTACGTAATCAAGGCTATAAACCCCCCTTCCTTTTTTGTACTTTGAGTTTCCAATAGCGTGTTTTACGTCCGTCTCTGCTTCACACGTCATGCCCCCAGGTATGATGAACGTGTGAAATAGTAACATTCCATAGAACGTGATTTCTCATGATCATTTCAGATTTCTAAAGGTAAATAAAGGTACTATGTTTCCAAAACCAAATTCTCTACTTCTTTTGGGAGATTTGCCTTTCGGAAGATACGTCTTTCTCTGAAACGGTTGCCGAATAATTCCCATAAGATTGAACGCCATTTCTAAATGAAATCTTATTTATCAGTGCAGTACAGAAAACGCAGTACTTGTTTTCAAGAACGCTTATTTGTCAGTAGCACAGTTCGACTGATTCAACTAACGAGAATACAGGAAAGATATTCCCTTAAAATAGTAGCGCTGTGATGAATCTGTACATCTAGGGAACATTCAGAATTTGAAATTCAAAAGCCAGTTCAACAGGACCGAAATGGTTGCATCGTTCCTGCTAAGCAGTTAGTTAATCAGGAATTGTTCCAAGCCAGTCCTCTTGGAAGTATTTACTCTGACACGGCAGGCTCAATGAGGAAAAACAGAAGATAAAAGACGTGTAATCCACGAACTCAGATTATGGTCGTTAGTACCGTCATCAACGTCTTCCAGGGTTATTCTAGCAGCGGCTAAAGTGCAGCTGACTGGTACATTGTGAGTACTTGTTATGTCCTATCCAAACGCCCTCTGTGTTGTACGTGCGGGACAGCTTGGCTTGTTTACTAGCCTTTTGGTCAACCAATGCTCCTGGCGGTCTTCATGAAATGTGAACAGTCACGCAGCTGCCCAGCTGTATACAGATTAGGTACTAAATTAGGTACTAATTAGTACTAAATCCTATTAAGCTCGAGAACTTCTTGCCGGGGAGAGGCCTTTTTCCCGAACAACAGTATACCTGAAGGCATCCTAACAATTACTATTGGAGAAACTGACCCAAAAAGAGGGCAACGCTTTTTGAGTATGTGAGTAACTTACATCCGGATTTGTCAAATTGAGCAGTGGCACATTTGGATTCCCATGAACGTGTCTGTAATAGGCCATCCTCACCGCATCGTAGGCAAAATACCGATGCTCTTGGGGACTTGCAGGCTAACATGTAGAAGTAATGAAAAGTAAAGTATGTTTACTTTGACTACATCACGTGGGGTGAGAATTAGCCATAGTGTCAGCCATTACGGAGCAAAAAAGGGACGGAATAAACCGCGGATATTAGTGGAGAAACGCGCTAATCCTGAAAATTCAGGTCATCATCACAAATGACTCTCAGTAGGCAATTACTTCCTGAGAAAAGTGACTTCAGCAAACCAAATACCGATGTGATATTGGGAATTGGAGTGTTTTTAGACTTTATGAACTGTTACAGGGGTACACTAACGAGCTCATTCTATCACTTTACTTCTGCAATCAAAAGGTGTCCAGCTAGCATCGTGCGCTCATAACGCTAGGTGAGTGGAATGTCCCCATAGACCAGTCGATAAATCGACAGCCAGGACAAATTCTGGGCCGTAATTCATGCCGTTCCGTGGACAGTCACGTCGCTCAAGCATGAGTGCGTTCGCTTAGTTAGACATAATAATTCAGGCGCGTCCAGCGCAGGCCGCTGAGATGGTGGTAACACGTTTACGTCGCGCGTCCTATATTGGGGTTAGGCCCATGAACAGCCAAGGCCATGAGCGACGACAGCCTGCAATAACGGCGAAACCGGAACCCTGTTCGATGTGGACTAACCAGTACAGTTAACTGTTGGGGCCATGGTTCTACACAGCAGTCGGTCGTACAGCTGAACGTCCCAGACACAGTGTCCCATATTGGCTGGATAGGTGTTCCAGCTCCTCACGTAGATTGAGGTTATCGTTAGGTAACTTATGGTAGAAATTCGTCCTGAAGTTTGCTATCAAATCGGCTACCTCACACGGTCATAGAGACAGACTGGTGAGTGGATCACCCTTGATACTGGTTCGTTCCGCCGCCCTAACTTCTGCTAGAACACAGGGCGTTGCCATCACACAGTGCGGTTTACTTTAATGTGACAAAAACCATTGCCACCGTCAGCTCAATACTTCCCCTGTTTCTCCGCCGTCAGATGGGGGCTACTACTCTCTTAGTGACACAACAACCGTATGAAAGTTGACTGGAGGAACGTGTCTATTATTGCAACCGGTTGTCACGGTTTTGATTCTGTCCCATTGGCTAATAACTACGTCAACCTGGATTCAAGACATTCCCTCAGGAGCAGCTTTCACGGTACTATGCAAAGGCAGTGTTTTTGCCACTCACATGATGAAAATTCCTAACAAATTTTAAAGTCTAGAAAAACCTGCACACTACAACAAGAGGAGTTCTTCATCTATCAGGACATTGTGTCGCCACATGTCGACCGGCAAGTTGCCGTATTTGTAGAGATCAAGAAGCATTATTTGTTTTTGAAAGAACTGACTTTCCAAACTTCTCAGTATGACTTTGGTTGGTGTTTCAGGTTTTCCAGTCTAGGATCAACCCATGAAGTGAAACATAAGCAGGTCTTCTATAGCCAGTCGAATATTTACCTCTAATAACCATTGATACACATCCCAAGAAGCGTGGGGTGTCATTCTTTGATACTCGCCAATTTCGGCTATAACCACCAAAAATGAAGACACTTTTGACTGACATTTGAAGGTACTTTATTGAACGATGCGAAATGAAAACCATTATGAAGTGGTCTGTACAGGACGTGGAAAATCTTCACACTAGCCTGAGTGAGTACAAATACTACTTGGCTGATCTCTCTGTAGGGCGAGATGACTCAGTAGTTACAGCGCGAATTTGCTGATCGGAAGGTCCGTGGTTCGAACCTGACCTCCGCCTCTCGACCTCCCCTGTCTAGGCTTGGATAACGTGGCAGTATTCCATCCCTCGTGTTTCCTTTGTGTGGCATGGCAGCTAGGCACCGAAAGGGTGTTACAACTGAATGATGATCTCTTCTCTCCTATTAATCTTAAGTTGACTTACCTCTCTACGGCCGGTTGTTCATTCTGTTCATACTGCTTCATTTCTCAGAGCTCTACCTCTGAATACGCACCCACGATCTAAGCTGCCTCGTCAGTTTGAACAGTGAAACAGAATGCTTCCAAAAGAAGCTCTTTTACTTCAATAATTATTCCCCTCCAGAAAGAGTACACCAAAACTTTTCAGCAAAAGTAGTTAGGATTACCTAAACACATATGTGACAAAAATGATGCCATGCCACAAAGAATGAGGTAGTCCGTGAAATTCCTAGTGTTGCTTATGACTATACGCCGATTTTCTAGTACATTAGGCTTATCGGGGCAGCTAAAGTAAAGTACACTGTTTAGTCCTGCGTGACAATCGCGCTTGAGAATTGTTAGGCCAAAAGTTTACAGATTGGAACTGTATCTATCCTGTGTAATGCTGAACGATATGCAAAGCAGTTGTTCAGGCCAGTGTGGTTGGCCGGCCAAAAGTTGGGAGTAAATCAGTATTACTCTCTTTCAGGCCACCAGCAAATTATATGAAGTCAAAATTACCCGTTTGGGTGTAACCTGAATAAACCACAATGTAGAGCTAAACTGGTTATCAAAACATTACCTCCCGTACTGCCGGCAGAAGGTAGTACTATGATGGACTCACTAAAAAATTAGTGGCCATGCTCTAAGGGTTTGAAATAATTCGGAAGTCAAAATCCAGTTCAAGTTTCCTAACGACCCACTCACCGGTGTTGACTGCCATATGTAGTAGTATGTGAATTTCGAAACAACTGAGAGTTTGCTCTGTTGAAACCACGAGTGTTTCGCACTGGTTGCATAGAGTGGCATGCCGAGAAGCAAGTTAATGGGGTTAGCTTTCTGAATGGGTCCACGAGGTTGTTTTGCCTGACTGACCAGCCTTGGAATGAGTTGTGACATGGCCTCATCAGGTGCCGCAACCTGGTTTGATACTGCAGTCCAATTGGTGATTCCATGGCTGTCACTGGCCAAAAGATCGGTCAAAATAGCGCTGGTTGCACCAATCTGAGGAGGCGAAAATTTGATAAGTCATTTTTTAAAGGTGAGATTTTCCTCCAGTAATACGAAATCATTTGGTTGAATTATACTAGGTTAACACAACCCTAATTTCTCGAGGTTTATTGCTGGATGTTTTGACCACTACAGGGGAATTTCTACAGGAACGAAGTAATTCGAATCCGAAGTAGTCCAGTCCTGGAAAAGGTGACCGAAAAGTCGGATACTAAGCTTAGATCTACTAATTTTGTTTCATTCCACTATAATCCAACCAAAATAGATGATCTACATAGCACCCATTCTTTTCGATCTGATTTGCTTCGAATTCGGTGGGGATTTTCTCATGACAGATAACATTTAACGAATGAAAAGTCCCTATCGTTATCAGCAAAATTTTCTTCAGGTGCACGATAATGTCAAGATTACCAAGATAACTCGTCACCCACGGCAACGTTTATGGCGAATGGTGGAAAACACTCATGGCATGCGGAACAAAACGTTTTTGTTTGGTCTTGAGACAGCGAAAACGGGTGGCTGAGACGTCTGAGAGTTCGATAATCGTTACATTGTAGACAAAAACTACGGGGAGTTATCGATGTTTTCTCCATGGTTGCGCTCAGGAAGCCGGAACTCTTCATCTTCGAACACAATGAAAGACTATCAACGTGCATTCAAAGACATTTGTGGCCGTTAACTGCTTGGCTGCACAGTACAAAGTTGCCGAAAATGGGTGCAAACTGTTTAAAATGAAAAACACAGACAAGATAAGGTACTCCAGAACCAGTACAACGTAATCCGCAGCGATGGTTTGCACTTCAAGCGACTGATAAATAGTGACTTGACTGATTGATTAACCATACAACCGCGTTAGACTACGTTAGCGAAATTCACCGAAAAGTGTTCATTATTTCGTCACACCATCCGGAGATACATCACCCGAGTTAGTCAGATAGTTTCTTAAATTCACAGGGTCAGGATGTTATTGAACAATATATGGACCACTTTTCCCAAGAATCTTTGCCTTCAAGCCACTTCAACTCGAAATGCTAGAAATAAAATTAAATTAAAAAGAACTATTCTTTAAAAAAGACTAAAAGCTACTTCCATGAAACAAACTACTCGCAAGGTTGCTGAAAACCCTTCAAAAGCCCATGAAAGGTTTCGTCCTTTCTGGGACTCATCAGGTGGGCGCAGTCCCCGAGTCCGTCAACTTTATGTTCCACTTGAACCCAAATTAAACACATTTCAACAGATACACTCATTTTCACGGGTGACTCAGCTGAATCCCTCGGTTATGATATTCTTCAACTGAATGTGTTACACAAAGGCCGCATCATGTTTCAGTTGGTACGTCGTTCGAGATATCGCAGTTTCCTGGATTCTTGAGAGATGGGTTGCTGTTGGAAGTCATTTCCATCATGAAACCACGCCAGGTGTCTTTTGCGTTACGAAGTTAAGCCGCAACAATCCCCGGATAGGACCTATCATTTTGATTTGACTAAAACAGCCAAGAGCTGTTTTCCCATAAGCTGTTTGAGAGCATAAGAGAAAACAGAAGAATCCATACTTCCAAAATTGCCCCCTAGTTAGAAGGATTTTTTCTGGAAGGGTCTTCTTGGGTGGTGGGACTGTATTGACAAGCCAATGGTCTGTGAACAGAATAGATGTTATGAACCTTTGCAAGCCTGTATGAGTGTTTTGTACAGAAGATAATTTCAACTGAGATAGAGAAACGATAACATATTGGTTGTTTATCCTTGGTGAATTGAGATCTTTTAGTTTCAAACGTTTTCTTCTATTTGGTATTTTGAGAATTTAGCTACATAGGTTTAAGATTGCGGACTGCACCTCCAGCTGTTCAGGGACAACAGTGATCCGAACTGGGCTTACCCTATCTTGAACTGTACGTGGCTATCATCCACTAGGATATCCTGAGAAAACCACATGGAAACGTTGCCTCAAAAGTGGTTGCACATCCACTTTCTTTCGTCTTCTGCATATCACTGCATCCATTTTAGAAGAGATAAAGTGAACAAAGTCAAGGACACGGGGATCGCACTTAATTTGATGGACTATCATTCTGGACCAGTTTCCACAGCGTAGGACAAACTATACCCAAATAGGTCATTCATGCTAGTATCGCAGCAAAAAAATATGAAAAACGTAGATTCAGAGGATTACGCCGTTTCATAGTGGTTTGACGAAACTACCGATAACAAACTTGCTTCATAAGAGCGAAACAAATGGCCAACTCCGAAGTTGCCTAGCTCGGAAGTCATAGTCAGTCAGAACAAACTCGTAGTTCCAAACACAAAAGCATCGAAGGGAAACGAGGTAAAAAAAAAATTGGACTTCAACAACTTATTTGAATATAGTCATTACAGCCAAATAACAAAGCACGCAAAGTACGTCACCCAACGGAATGGGGACATTAAGCTATCGGCTCACCGCCCAGTCTCCCCACTGTGATCGATAGCCCCGAGATCATAGGTCAAGGGTCAAACTTACTTGTACTGACAAATAGGTCATACGTGGAATCACATCCTCCAACCGGCCGACCGGTCCATCGAAATCGTTGGCCCATGTAGCCACATTGAGCTGGTACATTTGCGCCCTGCGCCACCAAGGTGTAGCGTGTGGATAGGATGGTCTGACTAAACGTAGTCCGTACACCAGGCCCACGACCAATGCGATGATCAAAATAGCTATCCCCAGAAGAATGCCGATAACCATGAAGATAAACTGACATAGAGTGAGGCCAAACGGAGGTGTGAATTTTCTATAATCGAGGGATGGAAATAAAACAAGGCTTTTTGATGATAGAGAAAGTGGTTGTATTGTTTTTTGTACACGGAAAACCGGAATTATCGACCCTATTTTCAATAGTCAGGGTCCAGTTCCTGCCAAGTAGTCCAGGTGGAATCAAGTACTTACTGAGTAGAAAAACTGGCTTTTCATGCCACAGCATTAGACTTATGATGAAACGTCACTATGAGTACCACTATGATTGCCATTAACGAGCCACAGACAGCTCTGTAAACTGTTGTCTTGGGAAGTTGCACTGTATCTCATTGGACAGCTGGTTGAAGTTTTTATTGCGTTCCCCTAAGTGAATGGCAACAAATATTATTCGTTTGGCCAGCTGCATTTAGTCAGAATGTAAATAAATCCTTAATGAAGAATTGTTTCGAAGTGTATACGATTATTGCAACCACGCTCTTCTCCCCTAAGCCAATTCGTTCATGCTGACGTTGTTTTGACAGAGGTTGAAGGACGATTGGATTTGGTCTTTGCTACTGTGTGTCATGCAATCAAACCAGTTTTGCGGCTAAGTCGTTGTTTTTTTCAATTGTTTACGATGTGTTGCATGGGATGCTTTCACACCCTTCGGGGAACAGCAAGCTGTATTTCCTTACAAGATGGCTCAAGTGGTTAGAGTGCCAATTTACTGACCGGAAGATCCATGGTTCGAACCCGACCCTGCGCCTCTTGACCTCTCCTGTCTAGGCTTGGGTAAGGGTTCGGGTAGCATAGTAGCTAGACACGGGAAGGGTGTTACGGCGGAACGGTTCATTTATTATCTTTATTCATTATTTCCTTACAAACCAAACATCCAATTCGATAAACAGCTACCGCACCGACAAGATATCCATAGGTCTTGACCCAGGGTTCTAATGTTTGATACGGCTCGGTCGCAGGATTACTACATATCGCTAATCAGCTGCGTTCGTCGCTATCCGATCGCTCAGCAAAAGGTTTTCACGAAATACCTAACTTTCTCTGGTTTCATTGACCGTACCGATTGGTTCCAAATCGTACCTGCGTTGTCTCAAAACTGAAAACTACTCACACACTGTACGACTAGAACATCCGAACCCACTGTACCAGTGGCAGTGACTGTACCAGTGACTAGCGAAAACTACAGCATCTCTACTGTGGTAACTTCCGCCATACTGATTTCATCTCGAATTCAACACAAGGGTTAAAGATGACTGGGAACTTTTCCCTGTAACATGCAACCGAATCAGATTTGAAAAAGAGTAGTTCATTAGACCAATGCGTATGGCTATTTTGCTCGCTATCCACCCACGCGCATATTGTGCTTTCACAGGTTCCATACTGAAGCAAAATCCATTCCGGTCCATACTACAGACACCGGTTGATTCTCATCACTCCAAGCACTAGAGAAAACGGTTAAAAGTCGAATTGTAGAGTGGGTATAACTTTGTTAATTTCTGCTTTGTAGCGCTGAACAGCCATTTCGGCAACCGTGACCGCCTGGATGGACCAACTAAAGGAAAAGTAGAGTGGTGATCTGGAATTATCGCAAAACAAATTCCTCATTCCCACCTATGCGACAGGCCATGCAATACATTCTTCAACTTTCCGTGCATTGCTACGTTTAAGAGCGAAGTTGAGAAGATGAAAAACCTTCCGGGAAATCAAATTCTCTTAGGAGGGTCACATTCCTGAAGGCAGTCCCAAAACCTACTGAGACGATCATACTCCACCAAAATTGCAGTATGGAAGTCGGAAAGCATCCAGGATAGTCAAGTAGTCAATCGAATCAGCAACGATCGAAAGTGATGAGTGTTTAGGCAGGCCACAAAAGCACGACGGATGATGAGGAGTGTTCAGACATCTCACATTTTTCGTCACATTTTTCTTGCTCTAATGGCAGCAACAACGACTAGTGGCAGCTATGACAGACTGTGGCTCATTTCTGATGACGTGTTGTGGGAGTAAAGTGGGTAGTACGTACCAGGAATCAATTCAACTGTTTGAAACCATGATTATATATATATATATATATATATATATATATATGAAAAA